GGAATGTGGCTGTATGAAGGCAGGAGTGAAGACTGAGGCCTGGGAGGAATGTGGCTGTCTCTGGGAAGCAGCAAGGACCCAGAGCAGCTGGTATGGCAGGTTCTTCGCACCTTCATTCCTTACTATGGTGTACGGGTCGTGGGCTTCATAGTATGACATACAGAGCCAGATTATGATTAATTTGCCATCGTGGTCCTTTTTCTCGGCGGTGACTAAGCAAGGTTTAATGTTAGCCCGAAACGTGATCAGCAATGGTGTGACTTGACACATCACATCGCCTCCGAAGGTAAGATAAGAGAAGAGACAGCATGATGTTTCCATTTCATTTATTGAGCAGATGCTTTTGTCCAAAGTGATGTAAAAGAACGACTGAGCAGGGTCATCCTGTCCCTGGAGTAATTGAGGTTAAGGGTCTTGCTCAAGGGCCCAACAGTTACATCACTCTGTCAGGCACGGGATTTCAACTGACAACCTTCTGATCACAATAATCCACTGAGCGACACACTGATACACTAGGATATTAAATCATTCCTTGTTAATAGTCTCATTAACAAAAAAAAACGCATAGATATCAGTACATATTGTATACTCAGTGTCCTTGGAATACATATGAAAATAGCTTCATATCAGCACTGTGATGCTGTTGTTTCTGCTCAGCACTCACACAGTGTTTAGCCCGCTGTCGTTTATGGCACTCACTCACTGATTTATCATCTGTGTTACCAAGGCCAGTGTGGCAAGGGCACGCCAGGAAGGAAACACTGACCGTGGCACATGGCTGAGATCGTGTTTTGTGATGGGAACACTTCCTAAACATATTCATGTAACACAGGTAGAGTGAGTGAGTTTGCTGAGGCTTCATGTTTCCTCTCAGAGGAAGCAATAAAGACGGCCGCTTGTGTTTAACTGCTCTTCTACCCGCCTCTTAATTGCTGCCATATTTTTCTTAGGGGGGGGGGGGGGTGTCAGAAAATGGAGTAATAAGAAGCTAACACTAAAGGTATTAGCGCCAGGGCTCGTTTGCTTGAAGCATCCGGAGGGTTTATGATCAATATTTTCTTTCAAACATTTACTGTATCACCAATTTCATTCCTTATTTCATTTTGAAATATGGAATATATAGGAGCTGCATTGACTGCTAGCCCTCGGTAATATTAAGCATGAACATGTTCCTTCTGCTAAGGGAGAAGGTTTAATGGATGAAGGGATGAGGCAGCCCTGTGAGCTGGAAGGAAGGCCAGCAATGGTCTCCCCAGCTGTGTCCAGCTGTTCTCCCCCGTGCAGACAGAGGAGGTTTAATGTTCAAGGGCAGGTCATTGGGTAAAGGAGTCTATAGCCCCTAAGGCTGGGTGTGGAAACTGGAAGGGGGGCTGTACTTGTGTAGGCCTAGGAGTATAGAGACGGAAAGTGAGGGGGTTCCTGGGGGGGGGGGTACAGCAGCTTTTGCCTTTTCTCCAATCAGGTATTAAAAGCACAAGCCTGTGTAAGGAAATGATTCAGCTAGAATATTTCCCTAGCAACGGTCAGTCAGGGCTGCATTTCCCAAAAGCATAGTTGCTAACAACATCAGCAACTTACATAGTTGGAACCGTTCAGTTGCATAGTTCCAACTATGTAAGTTGCTAACGAGAGTTTTTGGGAAACGTGCCCCAGGATATCAGCAACATATTCTGGTAAATGCTAAATAAAGCAGGGCCTTTGTTGGTTGAAGTAGGGGAGCAGATAGGACAGCAGCTGAGAACATGTCCTAGGAAGGTTTTAACAACTTGAGCAAGGAAGGTTTTTAATATAAATTCCTCCAGCAAAAATATGGATATAAATTGTAATCTAGTTTGAATAAAAAGTGTCAGATAAGGAGCTTAAAGTTATATGCATAAATCTAGGCATAACAATGAAAAATTCAGAAATCTTCCCCAGCCGACTACCTAAAAGGTTACCTGATTCTGGGGAAGTTCTGCTGAACACAGACCTATTTTACTATGCAAATGAATAACATTGTAAAATGTAAGATCTTGAAATATGATCTTACATCTGTTTCTTCCCGATCTCAGTGGAGCATGACAGAAAGTCCTTCCCTGTACGGCGTCACCACAGGGAGTTCCGCTTCAACCTGTCACAGATCCCCGAGGGGGGCGCCGTCACCGCTGCAGAATTCCGCATCTACAAGGACTTTGTCCACGAGCACTTTGAGAACGAGACCTTCCGTGTCACAATCTACCAGGTGCTGCAGGAGCACTCAAACAGGCAAGACCTCCTAGAAACCAAAAAATGCCCCTTTGAAGATTTTCTGTTTTCTTCTCCCATTTTAGTTTTCTTAACAAACAATCTCTCCTATTTTTCTATTTGATTTTGGTGTTTTTATAAGATGCACCATAATTTACTAAGAACATGAAAATTTGGAAATTGTCGACATGTTCATAGACATCCTTCTCATTCCTGCTGTCATTCTGAATCTTCACTTATTGGCAAACCCTTCTCCCCAGAAGGAACCTTGTGCTCCATTTTCCTGTCTTTATCATCAATAAAAACCTGAGGTCCTCAGCAACACGACCCCCCACTTTCAGCAACATGTCACCAGATGTTTTGCCCTCAGATGCCTCTTCCTTCATTGAGAAATCCCCCCCCCCTTCCTAACACACACATTCCACCCCCAATCATATACCCAATAGCCTGACCCCTTACAGCCTGCCAATTGTAGCTCTCATTACCGATTCCCTGTTTTTACCTCATCCAGGGAGCCAGAATTACTGCTGCTGGACTCACGAGTCACCTGGGCTGCAGAAGAAGGTTGGCTGGTGTTTGACATCACTGCCACCAGTAAGCACTGGGCCCTCCACCCAGGATGGGACCTGGTCCTGCAGTTGGCCCTGGAGACCATGGACGGTGAGGGGGGGGGGTCCATGGGCAAGTTTTGCACTTTCCCGCTAATGTGGAAGATAAAGCAGCAAGAATATACTTTAACCCATTCAAATTACTTGCATTTATGTATGAAGTCATCCAAGTTACAATGATAACAACAAACATAATCTGTTTTACTAAAAAAACAAATTATTGTATTCTTCTTGTACATATGGAACACAACATTAAAATATTCACAGTGTAGTGAACACTGCCCTAGAATAATGACTTCATCAAATCCAGGCCGGAGTGTGAACCCCAAGCTGGCCGGGCTGGTGGGCCACAGTGGACCCCAAAACAAACAAGCCTTTATGGTGGCCTTCTTCAAAGCTGCCCAGAGCCGCCCACGCAGAGCCCGTTCTGCTGGCCCCAAGCAGCGGGGCCCCGGCCGGCCCAAGGTCCCCAAGAACCAGGAGGCACCGAGAGCCACCAGCACTGCAGGTATCATGGGGGCTGTGGGAATGGAGTGGATAGGGAAAAGGACCAGGTGGTCATGTGGGACGGCGGCGTGCTCCAAAATGCTCCTTGGAGGAGACAACACATGTGAGACGACCATGTTGAGGTGAACAGTCCCGGCGAGCGGCTGTTCGGGTACGGAAAGCAGAGCACTGGCAGCCAATCAAAGCGGCCATGACTCAGTGGGTGGAAGATCCAGCTGGCCTCTGTTAATCATCTGGGCTCGTCTCTCCAGCTGTACGCCGTGACTTGCTGACTCGCGCATCTCAGACTGTTTTGACTCCCCTCATCTCTGCAGGAAACAGCAGCACAGACCAAAAACAGGGTTGCAAGAAGCATGAGCTCTTTGTCAGCTTCAGGGACCTGGGCTGGCAGGTATGGCCTGGGACTCAGTCGTGCTCAATCCTCCTCCCCTTTGCTCTTTGCATCTTCCCATGTACATTATCCCCCACTCTCTTCTTTTCCATATTTATTACCCCTTTCCTTCTGTTTTTATCTAACTTCCCTGTCTTTTTATTAATCAAAATAAACCTGGTATGTGAAGCGCCTTTGAATCGAAAGGTCTCTAAAGGCTATCCCAAACCACTTAATATCCCTAAGTCACAGCTTAACAAAGACAGCTTAACAGAGTTTGCAGAGCTCTAAAGAATATTATAATAAATCTATTTAAATGGTCATATACACTCAAATAATTACACAGAGTAGAATTTAAAGGATGATGATTGACAACGCAGGAATAACAATGTCCTTAATGCGACAGTAGCTGATAGTCAGTTGACTGAGAGTCATGTGACACGTGGCCTCTCTTCCAGGATTGGATCATTGCGCCAGAGGGCTACGCTGCCTACTACTGCGACGGCGAGTGTGCCTTTCCCCTCAACTCATACATGAACGCCACCAATCATGCCATTGTGCAGACGCTGGTAAGCCTCCGTGGTTGGCCAAGAAGCTGAAGCTGCTGTGTATGTGGATTTTACTGCCAATATGCACAGTAGCCATTTTTTTCTGGATAGATATATGCTGAGGCAACTGTGGTTTCACCGCAAGTCACATGATATTGATAGGAATGTGTGATTATTATATACCCTTTGATTTTGGCTAGTCATCCATCCTATATATCTTTTTTTTATATATGTTACTCAAAATAAATGTTCTTACCCCTCTGAATTATGATATTTTTAGTTTTACTTTTTATTTTCTTGTCTTCCAGCTAAAGGTATTTTAGCCATTCCCTCTCCTTGTGAGCCACTAGTCATGATTTCCACTCGCACACATGCTCACCAATCAATGTCTTTCTTTGTAGGTCCACTTTGTAAACCCAGAGACGGTGCCCAGGCCCTGCTGTGCCCCTACTCAGCTGCATGCCATATCTGTTCTCTATTTCGACGACAGCTCCAACGTCATTCTGAAGAAGTATCGCAACATGGTGGTCAGAGCTTGCGGCTGCCATTGACAGAACTGCCGGTTATCTCCTGATAGTACCATGATTCAGGAGACAAAGAGAGCAGACTTCCTCCCCGTAGTGGACCATAGACTCAAAGAGCCCTTACCCACAATTCACAGGATGTCAGACAGTTACCTGCAGTCTTGTCGCCCACAAGGAGGTCGGACAGTTGATCTTTGCGGGCTGGGCAGTGTAGATACACCAATAAATGGAGAACACTTGAAGATCACCCAGATGTATGGAACCTGAACGTGTTATGTCACTGTTGATGACAGGTACCCGATTTGATGGTTCAGGTTCATGAAGTGGGGAATTATTATTATTATTATTATTATTATTATTATTATTATTATTAGGGTGGTCTGGTGGTTAGAGGCATTGTTTTATAGGAGTAAGCTTACTGTATTAAGTTAATCTTGCTCCTTAAAAACTGTAAATGCATCAACATGAAATTTGATATCTCTGTAAACCACTTTGGATGAAAGGATCTTCTATCCAAATAAAAGATAAAAAGACTTTGATTTGCCAGTTTTAGATTTAACTGAATGTTTTAAAAGAGCAGAGCTACCCAATGCAGTGTATATGAGGTTTGTTTCATCCTTTTCAGATATTTCATGAAATGAAATTTCATTTTTGGGGAAAAAGCAACATGGCCACCAGTCAGTGTTGACAGCTGCAGTTGACAGCATATGCTCAGTGTGTCCAGTTTTTTCCCTCCTAAAAGCTCATACCTGGCATATGTGTTCGATCATAAATCTGATTTAAACTGACTGCCTTTTCACTCTGCTATGTACTGTGAAGCAGTATTTCCAAGGTATGCTTATAAACTACACACAGAAACGGTTTAGCTAATTTTTAAGTTTGTCATCAGCATTTAAATTTTGTGTCAATTTCAGCATAAAAGGTGATTAATTGTTCGCTGAACAACAAGTAATGTATGTTCATGCTCAGCATATGCCTGAGGATACGCTTTCCTTTTACTCACTTGCTCAAAGTAGCATCACTGCAAAGATACTTATTACACTAGTGAGTGAATCCTTACACCAGGACTGAGGGCGAAATGCACCTGGGAATTGGCCCGATTGCTACCTGCCAGTCTGTCATTTTCGCTGACTGGACAATTCTTCAGTACAAGCTATCGTCTTTGTTTACGTTGAGTCAGGAGCTTTACTTGCATTAGAGATTCTTTTTGAATGCGCATCAGAGTTTATTATTCTAACAAAACACACATGCAGGCGGTATGTTAAATGAATGCTAAATGTATGTCTTTGAAGGCTTCCCCTTCATGGCAGACTTCCTGGCTTCCATGACATAACCAGGTTGGGGAACATTACACTGATCCTGATGTCATCTCAAACTGCTTTAGTGAGCGACCTGGTTCTGACAAACAATGTCAGTGTGAACGCTGTAAAAAGAGACTTGCTTTCTGGATGTGGCCTTCTTTTTCTCCACATACAGTATACAGAACTAAAGATGTGGGATGTTTTTATGGTTTCGGTCGAAATGTATTATTTACACATTTCACATATAGTTTTGAGGAGGTAACTTTATTCACTAGGAATGTGAGAATTTCCGTGGAACGTGAGAATTGTCAGCCAAGCCGAACGTTTCTTGTGTTTAGCTTGGCTTTCTTGGCTCTGATATCACTGTCGCTTTAGCAGGGGAAAAACAAATAGCAGTTAATGGGTTTAAATTTTCTGTGCTGATGATTCATCTTCAGGATTCCTGTAAAACCTGCAGGTGGCTAAACCTTGAGAGCAGCATCTTCTCCTGTTTCTGCCTCTCGCTGCCGGATGGCCGTGCGGCTCCCCTTCGGGGGGAGCTCCAGGTGCGGATGTGCCTGAAGTCACACGTACAGGGCAGTAAGGAAGACGACCCCGGCCGGCCCGCCCCACCCCACCCAGCGGGAGCCAATCCAAAGACGTACTCAGAGGCAGGTGGGGGTGGCAGTGAGGGACAAGGGCGAGCTTTTACTGTTACTCAAGCAGCTCCTTTCACCAATCTGTGGGCTGCAACCTGTTTCGGATTAGCAGGCCATGCCACCTACAGGTTCAGACGTAAAACATATGCGGCCTCTGGGGGCTCTGATCTGAGTGTGCATGGGGGGCAGGGTCCTTATTTTCTTCTATCCCTTCATCACTTAGGCTGCATTTAATAGACTGTTGCCTGCGTCAGTGGTTTGGTGCCCACCAGCTTAAGGGCTTGTAATATAAGTCGTTTTTCACACATGAATTCTGGACTTTGTCCAGAGAATCAGGTCCGGACATTTTCGGAGTTGCCCTTTCGCACATGTGGCACACAAACGGAGATCTGTGTTAGACGTGTTCACACCTACTACAAATACTCCAGTTCGTTTAGATGAGGGGTGGAGCTTGGGTAGAGCATGCAGGAGGCAGGAAATGACGAAAAAGCATGCTGCAGAAATGGCAATGTTTTGTTTACAGCACGTGGAAGATGTTTGTTGTTCACCTCCAGTTTAGTTCGGATTACACCATGGTCATGTAGCCAGTTTGTATTTTGATCAGACAAAAGTGAGTCTCTTGCCATTCTTTCAATCTGTCAAGCAATTTCTGTGTCAGCCCTTACTGACAGAATTTTCTGGCGGTTTGTATTCTTCTGTTTTCATGCCAGTTGCATGATAAAAATCTTATTATCACGCCCACTTGCTCGTGGTGAATACTCCAGGATTCTCCCTGCTCCATTGACACATGGGGGTGAGTTGGAAATTACCTGGACTTCGTTCTAGGGAGTTAGCAGGGTTAACGTCCAATACAACTAATTCATACATTTGTATCCACACATACAGATACTCTGGGTAATGTTTAAAAAAGTTCAGGATGGCAGTGCATGTCTGAAAGGGGCTTTACAGTTGACTGTAACAGGAAGTGAATGTCAGTGGTTTCTTATAAAAACAAGAAGACTGATAATAATAGCTTCATGCTGTATACTGTGTCTAACATCAACAGTCCTCTCAGTCTCTATCCAGCAATGGAATCAGGCTGGAAGATACATGCTTGAAGCAGGAGATTATTTCACCATTGGGCCCCAAATTGCTCCAGGGACACATTTTGCATAAAAGTGTTGACTCCTCAATAAATTAATGTAAGTATATTGTTGAAGTCAGCTGTTAGGTCCTCAGCACATCGCAAGGTGCGTGTTTGTTGGTGTTTTTGTTTCTCTGCTGTGGTCCCTATTGCACCTGCATTTTAAAGTGAGTTTTCTGCCTGACGGCAGAAACCCTCCCCATTCATTCTGCAGAAGACACCAGCCTCTTATTTGTCATCGCACTTGCCTTACCTTTCCTTTTTCCACTCGCACCATATTGATAATATCTTCACTGGTATTTGTATTTCTTGTCTGTTTATGTTTCCCTGTCTCCTGCTTGTTATATTGGTGGAGGTAAGGGAGAGGTAAGGTACCTCTTGTGTTTTCCAGTCCTGTGTTTCCCAGTCCAGTCATTAACATCAACCTTCCTGTTGCCTGTGCCCATCCCAGAGTTAGTCTTCCTGTTTTGACCCGTCACGGTCCTGTTGGTTTCCCTGCTCCTGTTTTGACAATACAGTCCCTTTTGTTCTCCTTCCGCCTGCCCCAGAGTCCTTCATTCCTCGTGTTGTGAGACAAACTGCACTCGAATCAGATTTCTTGTAAAACTGAATCTAGATCACCTAGGGGAAAATAAAAATTGGTGGTGCCTAACCGTCAAAAGTAAGCAAACACGCGAATAGAATTCCATTCTGAGCACACTGAGGTGGAATGCCTATACAGAATTTTTCCTAGCGATCTCCACACTACTGGACTTCCTTCTACAGATTCCCTTCCCACCATTGATGAGATGTATGAGCCCACAGTAACACTTTTGCTCTCGTTTTGGTGTTACCCCTAATAAAGAGACCTCTCTTCCACCACTGTGCCCTGTGCATCACATTCCTGACAAACCAAATATGACTTCACCTGTAAAAAGTCTTGTAAACTGGAGGTTCCAGAGAAACTTGTTTAGCCAAACAGAGTGGTTGAGCCAGGACCTGTACAACAATATCCTACAAGTGTTCCAGAACTATTACAGAAATACCAGGCCTTATGCACTAGCTAGAACACAGTTACCCAGCAAAATATCTTGACATTACCTGCGTGTCTGCAGCACAAACACCCACAGATGTGCACCTTAAAGAATCAAGTTTTAGCAAGACAATTAGGAAGTCAACCTCTAAATCACACTTGAGAAGCTCAAAAAACAGACACATTAACAAGAAGGTAAGGCCAATATCGGTAGACTACATGTGCAGTGTGGATGCTGAAGACCAGAAAGAATTAAATATTATTCACAGTCAAAGACTGTCAAGCATCTGTTAGAAGTGTATAAATAACAGTGAGGATTCTATTTCCCTTACTGTTCAGCTTCATACTGTGCAAGTTCGTTATTTTTCCATGTTTAAGGACAGGGGTTTCTGATTATATCTGTATCAGATACACAATGTTAATGTTAAAAGTATTTAAGTCATACAATATCACTGCATTTTGGTTCTGACAAGCCAAGGACACCTAAAATGTATTGTTGGATTGTATGCCTCCTACATTTCAGCTGATAGATCATGACATCAAAATATGATCCATACAAAACTCTGAGCCACTTCAGGTTTGAAGCCTGTAAACGATGGTGTCTGGTAGCACAGCTCACAAGACTGTGAAATTCATTCTAGATGGGATGCTAGTGCCTCACCACACATACTCTATATATTGGTTCCAAAATTTTCCAATTCCCTGATCGCAGAGCTTACAATTTTCAATTTTACCACAGCATTTCTGCAAAAAATGACTAAATCAACAGATTGCTTAGATTTGGACAATGATACACTTCCTGTGCCATTATTGCAGTGTGCATTCATGTGTTTTTTTGTTAGGCTCCATTGCAGGGAAGACGAACACAGCAAACACACTGCATTTAGCAACAAAAATTACTGCTAAAGATTGTGCAGAACAATTCCAAGATGTTGAATAGAGAATGCTAATGAATACTAATGTGGAATGGTTAAAAACATTCCTGAACTTTTGCCAAATTTTCCACAAAAAAGATCACAGGACTCCGCAAGTTGCACAAGAAATTGTGAGAAAACCACTGCAAAATCAAGCATTTTGGGCTTACAGAATCACAAAAAAAAACTGCAAAATCACATAGGGACTGACTATAGGCACCAGTAGGACAGGGACCTCCAACCTTATTTGTTAACTAACTGTGAGACATACTTTTACAGGAAGGGGGGAGGATAAAATTTGTCAATGGGGACACGAGGATGGGGGATGGGGGGTGCAATGGTAAAATTAATTCTCCTTTCACATCCATTCTGCAACATACTAGTAGCTCGCAGTCAACGTGCTGGGAACCACTTATTTAGGGACCATTTAGCTTAACTGCGTGTTTTTAGACCGGAAAAGGAAATCCAGATGATGCAGAAATAATGTCACAGACACACACACAGGATTTGAACCTGGAGGCATGAGGCAAAAGTGCTGCACGCTGAGCCACCGAAAGGCATCTCCTTCATAATCATACGTCCTCATTTCACTGCGCATGTCTGTACGTCTATGGTATGTGAGAAAGATCACAGAACAGTCTAGAACACTATAGTTCACTATAGTTTCACTTTCAGTTCCGACAATATCTTCACTTAGAAAACAAGATGTTGTACTGATCTGAAAATAGAAGTGTATGGAAATGCTTGAATTGAACCGTTTACTTTTACCTGTGTAGTTGACAGTTCTAGCATGGCAAAGCACACTGCTGAGACACATGCAAAGTAAGAACATGTAAATACCAGGGAACTGTACTTATGACACAGATGTTTTCCCGCTTTATTCAAAGAACTTAACATAACTTCAGTAAATGCTCTCCTGTACAAATGGGCGAAATCCTAAAATAATTAAATTACAGAGTATTATACTGGACACATGAATGGGCACACTTTGTCTGCCTCTGGCCTGACTGTTTTTTAATCTCAGTTACTGAGCTAATTGGAAACTGAAATGTTGAACTGAAACTTTGCATGAGCTCATCTCTTCAGGAAAGCTGTTATTTCCACTGAATTGCAGCAAATGAGCTAAGCATTCAGTTCTTAAGATAAAGCTTTTAAAGGACATGAACCTAAGATTTCTGGTTTTCTAGACAGACCCTTCTTCATTGTTGATGGATGAATGATGGATGATGAATGAATGAATAAATGAACGAAAGAAAGAATGAATGAGCAAGTGAACGAATGAACGAACTAGCAGAATTATCAGTGAATTGTCATTTTGCTTCTTAACAAAATAAAATGCTCCAGTTCAATGTCGAAAAACGGAGGAGTTAATTCTTTCAGTGTTTTTTCCACAGCAGCAGATTTGTCTCGCTTTATAATAATAATAATAATAATTATTATTATTATTATTATTATAAAGTATGTATACCTCGTATGTATACCTACCCTTGACTGTATACATTTGTTCATGCTTATGCAAGTGAAATCGTGGGATGAATTTGACATTGGTCACAAGGTTTGATGAGAATTGAATACTTTCGACAAATTTATTCATATTTTTAAAGGTAGGCTAAAGGTTGGACGGGACAAACAGTTATGGTATTAATGTACCCTTATTAAACACAAACCTACTTTAAGCTAAGCCTTTACTCTTCACTGCTCAAGAGTGACACAGAGAAGAAAACGGAACAGGTGGTTCTGCTGAGAGTAGGCCATAAAGAAGAAACTACAAATACAATATGAATAACACAAGAATGATATATTTGCGATAAAAATGTGTATAACTAGTTGTTTAATCACTGGTTATGACGGCTTCTCGCTAGACGAGTGCTTAACAAATGTATGAATGTTTAAGTGAAAAGCATAAAAAGACGAATATTCGAGCACACGTGTGCCGTGCCCTAGGCGGTCAGAGCTCGCTCCGTGAGCTTCACCGAGACAGGAAACTGAAAGTTTTCCACTTTACTTTTGCTTTCTCTTCTAAAAAGATCGTATTCTCACAACGCCAGCTGCAAAAAAAAGAAAAAAAGAAAACTTGTGCTGTTATAACAAGACCACGAGACATACTACCAAGGGGGATATTAACTGGAAAATTTATTTACTTGTACTTAATGACTTATTTTAACTTCTCGTAGATAGGTAGTACAACTGGCGGCTTTGTATCTCATATAAGAGGCGTTCAGATGTCGTGATCAGGGTTTTCTGTTTTATTGCATTTTTTTAAAATAATACTTTATATATAATTTAGCCGTTCTTTTTTCAGTTGAAATGGAGAAAAACTGCAAACACATGCGCTTGAGAGAGTGGCTGATCGCGCAGATAGAGAGCGAGAAATTTTTAGGGCTGAGCTGGGAAGATCAGGAGAAGTCAATGTTTAGGATACCGTGGAAACATGCGGCAAAGCAGGACTATAATCAGAACGAAGACGCTGCACTATTTAAGGTAAAAAAGGGAAAACTTAATTATGATAAGCGCAAAACTCTATCGTTACAGGGTATTTTCAGACATAATTTTCATTTAGCATTTTACAGTAGGACATTATTAGTTCACTTTGTTAGAATGTTGACTCTGTATTTAATGTATTTTACGTTAATAAATTATATGTGCCAAACTTGTTAGTGAATGTAAATAAATATTTTTGATGCCCTTTTAGGTCGTGTAATTAGAAAAGTACACAGCCATATAATCCCAAAACGTACGAGACTGTTCCTTGTGTGCAGCACATGCTATTTTAACTGAACTGTATAATGTAATCAGACAAATCAGTGCTTAGTGTTTCCGGCATTCAAAAATAGGTCTATATGATATTATACACTAATGCGTAAAAGTCTTAGGCAGTCCCAGAAAGTGTTGTTTAAATGATTGTCATATTGGTGTATAACTATGTTATTGTCTGTCAAAGTGTGTCATCTTAACAATTTCAAAACCTTTCCCAAAGTCACCCCATTATCTACAGCAACCGACCAATACAACACGCATTTTTTGACTCCACCGCTACCCCACCTTGTTTGGCCATTGGTTATCTAAAAAGTTAATTAATTAATTGAACTCGTGGAGAAATTTAACAAACACACATAATGTCTGAGCTGTTTCCAAGGAGCGGTTTGGCAACCAAAGCAGAGTCATGTAGTTACCCAGCAAGATAAGATCAGTAACTTTTTGGAGAACAGATGAAACTCGATAATTTTTGTTACTTATAATTTGCGTGTGTTATAATGTTCAATTGTATTTCTTCTGAGCAAATATATACTTACTACCAAGATTAATAGCCATTTTCTCTGACTTCCTAAGACTTTTGCACTGTACTGTATATAGTTCATAAAGATTATTATTATTTTTTAAAATAAATAATTTACAGCCGTGGAAAAAATTAAGAGACCACAGCACAATTTTTTTCTCTCATTTCTCAATTAATGGGTGTGCATCTGTGAATAATGTTTTTTTTTTTGCGAACTTCAGCCTGGTTCTTCTGTGTTTCTCATTAATGAAGGCCTTCTTCCTTGCTTTACGGGTCTTCAGTCCTTCAGGAGCCTGATACGCAATGAGACGCACTTCCCACCTGCACTTAATGTTTCCCATTCCTTGATGCCATCCTATGATTCACGAGAACATGTTGGATGAACTAACAATCATCTCTGGCATTAGAAAGTCGCTTCTGCCCTTTACCCATCTGGTTTCTGGTTGTACCCGGTGTCTCCTGCTTCACCTTATTCTTGCGTACTGCTGTCTTAGAAATTTTGAACCTTGAAGCATCCTGATGCTCAGTGTAGCCTTCTGCCTGCAGAACCGGAATTAAACTGAGATTTAAGAATGCAAATTTATTTAAAAGTATACAGTGGCCTCTTAATTTTTTCCGTGGCTGTGTGTGTGTATGTGTGTATATATATACATATACACACACACACACACACACATACATACAAAAAAGTCACAGGGCAGTGTGTGTGTCCGTTTCTGTGTGTATTTGCCCCAGGCCTGGGCCGTGTACAAAGGGAAGTATCGTGAGGGGAAGGACGTAGCTGACCCGTCTGTCTGGAAGACTCGCTTGCGATGCGCCCTCAACAAAAGCACGGATTTCCGTGAGGTTCCCGAGCGCAGTCAGCTAGATATCTCCGAGCCATACAAGGTGTACAAGATCCAGCCGGAGGGCACCAGGAGCACGGGTGAGAGTAGCACCCTGCCTGAAGGGGGCAGAATTCATCATAGCATCGCGTAAAATTATTCACTCACAACAAATCACCATTTCGAAGTGGAACCTGAAGTGTCTAATTCAAAAGTACAATATCAGTTATAATAACATTTTATTATTTTACATTATTTACACAAAAATTCATATCCCAAATCAATGAATATTAGCATATTTTCTAGTTATATTATTTGAATTATTATTAATAGCCCACGCCAGGCTTATGAGACAAAAGGATGATATGCATGATCCATACAAAGAGAGCGGCATGGACCAAGGTGGCCGCACAGTTACTTAAGACAACATCTGGGCAAAATGAAATCGAACACATCAGCGAGAACAATCAGCGAGTGCCTGCGTCATTTTAATAAAGGAAACGACAGCTCTGCAAAGTTTTTCTCAGTAGTAACAGCCACTATTGGTCTCATACTACCAGGGGCACAGACAGGGAAAGCATCAATTTACAGATAAGTGTGGTGCTGTGCGAAGCATGCAAGTAATTGCATAATTAATGTGGCTGCCCAACCCCGCGGCATCACATTTATGTCAGCCAGTCGTGGGCAGTGGGTGGGATCAGAACAAATGAAGAAAGTTTGCCTCGGGGAATGCTGCACAGGTGGTACACCGAAATGCATTCAGCCATATCATCCGGGCCAAAATGAGGCCAGGCGCGACACAAGTGTCTTTGCTAGCATGGAGCCTAGTTCGTACTGTAGCATCGGAGAGACGGCTCAGAGTAGCCGACCCCAGTAAGAGTGCTGTGCATGCTGGGTGAGGTTGTAAATAGCCCCTGTTTGTAATTGTTGTTAGTGCAGGTACTTGTTGTGCTGTATACCCAACTGTCGCGTGTACCCATACTTGTGTTTGCACTCGGTCCTTACCTGATTGTGACGTGTTCAAGCTAATGTGTAATTACCTGCCATATGTGTGCCTTACTCTCCTTAGTGTAACTTCCCTGTGTTTCTGCGCCAATTTTTGTTGCTGTGTATGGTTACTATTTGCGCAGTCCTTTCACGACTATACATAAAGAGCAAAATCGTGTCCTCTCCTGTTTTGCTGCGGCTGCACTGATGCGTCGGTCTGCCAAGTGTCATACTGGTGTCAGAAGCAGCCCCACTAATGCTGCTGGAGTGGGTGCTCCTCACCCCAGCTGCAAGCATGACCAGTGCAAGCAGCAGACTGAGGCTGCTCTTCCCAGTCATGAGGAGGCGGCCACAGCTGGAGCAGGGCGAGCGGCTGCATGAGTCCCTGGAGCGGGGGCAGCACCTCATGGAGCGGCTGCGAGAACAGCTGCCAGAATGTGAATGGCTAGGTGAGCCCTCTAGAGGTGCCGAGCAGGAGGCTTCGGGAGAACAAGCCTGGTGATCAACAACCGGTGCCCCTCATGGAGGAAGAAGCATTGGTGCCCGGGAGGGCCTTGTACCTCCAGAGCCGGCTGACCACCCAAAGTTCACTAGCAGCTGCCAGCATGTCGCCTCCGATGACGGGGCAGGTCGCTCCCCGCATGCTGGCGTGGTTAGCTGCTGGGCGATGCTGGCATGTCGGATCCCCACCGGTGCCAACCCTTCTTCTGCACCTTAAGGGGACCCAGGACAGTTTCCAGGGGGTCCATGCCCAGCGACTCCCACAGCCAAGCTCCCTTCTCTGGCGACAGCCATCCTCCAGGCCCCGGTCCTCCTTCCTACCCCACTTATGGCCTGGGTGTTGTGGGGCAGGCAGGTCCTGCCGGGGGGCCTCCTGCTCGCAGGGTCGTGTGGCCCTGCACAGCAGCTCTCACTCTGGTCGAGCCACCAGCTCGCCGTGCTCCTGGGCTAGCTTGGCCTCCAGTACATGGCACGCCTCCACTCGGTCACGCAGCGCGACCTCCACTTCGTGCAGCCTGTGGTGTTCCTCAGCCAGCTGGGCCTCCAAGCCACGGCACACCTCCTCCCAGCCGAGCAGCGCCGTTTCACGGGCCCATAATGCCGCCTCCACTGCCTCGGCCAGGCACCCCTGGCAGCCGTGCTCCTTCTCCCAGCTGGCCAACTCACCGCAGAGCTGCTCCACGGACTCCATCAGCCACTCCCAATCTTGGTGGTCCCTCTCCCACTGCACGTCAAGCTCGTGGCACTGTTCAGCAAGCCGGGTCTCCCAGCTACTACATGCCTATTCTCATTCCAACAGAGCAACCTCTGCTCGCTGCCTCTGTTGGTGATGCTCGCAGCCGCGGCTTCTCGTCATTGACCAGCGGGGAGCCCTTGAGTCCACTGTGTTGCCCACCCTCCTCGGTCACTGATGTCGTCTTCGCCGAGGTTTTGGTGGGCAGGCAAGAGCAGCTTCAGGGCGTGCTGGATAGCACGGAGAGTATCTCTCTTTCCCCGGTGTCTTCTGCTCGTCTGCCGGAGACTCTGGCGCGAGCTTTTGGGTAGCGGGGAGCCCGGTGCCCTGCCCTCCCGCAGCACCAGCTTCTCGTCCCTCGTGGAGTGCCGGCACTTTTCTGCTGCCTCAAGGTCCACCAGGCTGGAGCAAAGTTGCCTGACGATGGTGATCAGCACCCGCTCCAGCCACTAGCTTGCCAGGGAGAACACACTCTTTATTACTAGTCCTGAAAAGGAATACATCAGGTACCCAAAGAGCACCGAACCTGTTATACACAGGAAACATGAGGTTGTCAGATGCTCAACTGTAAGAGGCATATAGGGTTGGAGATTTACATGAGCTAATTACACATGAGGATCGGATAGGGTACACACAAGACACGGGCAAACACACGCGCAACAATAAGGAAATATAGCCATTAACAATAACAACAACAATACAAGGGCTATTTACAACTGCACGCGGGGCATGCTGGGACATGTGCCCTGCCAGTGATACAATATTTACGTTACGTCCCCTAGTCGGCAACTGAAAGTGCACACGGAAAAGTGAAGCATGAACTGGCCTTCAGCCCGAAGCAGCTATCTAGCACCTACGTTGTTTAAATAGTAAATGTACTTGCATACATGTTAACGCCCATTGGCGTGTCGGTTTTGGAATGAGGTGGGATCAGGTGCATTTAAAACTGGTCTTAAAAAGCCGTTACTGTTTCACCACACTGCATGTATTTCTGGTCGTGGCAATACATCTCCCCTCTCTGGGTCTGGTGGAATTGCACTGCTGTTTGTATGCAAGCAAGCGCAACCGTCTACGTCTGCGGTGTAGTATGAACTCAATCTTCCACAGGCTGCTGTGTATGTGGGTTTTTGCTGCAACACCCTAATTAGATTACTAATTAGAGGACTGATTGGCTGAAGAGACCTCACACCTGGGTTTGAACAGCTGAGCTGAAGGTTATCCCAAAAACCTGCACACACACCGGCCCTTTGCGGATAAGATTGGCCACCCCTGACCTAATATGTCACAGCAGTCCAACAAGGCTGTCCCATTTCACAGGATTCTTCTAATTTGACCTAGAAATCTGTCTTTCTTTTCCCAGGCCTTGAAGGATTTACCTGATGGATCCTTCACAGCCCAAATTATCCCAAGATTCATTGCGCAGACTTTTAGAAGGACGCGGCTACGTTGCCTGTCCCCTATGAAGGATGTAGCCCCTGAATTGATACATTCATCTGCAGTATACACCTAGCTTAAGTATGCGACAGATAGTTTTCACCAACGTGTTCAATTTTGTTTTGTCTGATGATGCTTGAAGTATACAGCTACCTTTCAGTGCAGCCCACTAAAACATCCACACACTGACTGAACCAATGCAATATTGCCCCTAGAAGCATGCAGATAATCGAGGGAAAGTGTACCTTTTGTGTTTTATTGCAGATCTGTGTGGTCTTTGAGGGTTTTATCTTTACCAATGTACACTCACCTAAAGGATTATTAGGAACACCATACTAATACGGTGTTTGACCCCCTTTCGCCTTCAGAACTGCCTTAAT